ACCCCCCACGAGGCAGGGATATGTATATGCCTTTTATTTTGAATTCCCAGTTATTGTTTGGAGATGTAGAACATACTCAATAAATGTTAACTGAAGTAATGCCAGTGGGCAGAGGCAAAGTATAAAAAGCAACCTGGTTTTAAAGATTCTCTTTCATAAGACTTGACATAAAGTTGGTTTCTACAACTCCCACTACCAGGTCATTTATCTCTGCTCTTACCATGGATACCAAAGGAATAGCAACTTTTTTACTTGACAATTAACAAAATACATATCAAGCGTGGAAATGGCATCTTAATATAAATTGTCTTACATTGGATTCTGGCTGTGCCATTTTCCTGGTGTACCCTGGGCAAGACACGTAACCTCTGGTCTCAGTTTCATCCCTTATAAACTGGAAATAATAATGTCACCTAATTCAAATGGCTGTTCTGGGGATTCAATGAGGTAATATATGTAAAGTGTATGCAATAGGAAATGTTCAACAAATCATAGCTGAGGTTGTTACTCTGAAGGAGGTTTCACCTGTGGTTCACTAATAGAGAACAAGAAACTTGACTGTTATTAGGCAATGGAAAGCACGCATGCGTTTCCTAGAATGGGAGAAACATCTTTATTCATGGAGTTCAGGCCATACACTCAGCCTCTGAAGGCGGTTGAAAGTTGTTGTCTCTGGTCCACCCTCCCCCACCAATATTTCTCTCTCCCAGTGTTTTTTACCCCTCTGTCCTCCCCCTCCAGGGTCCCACTGCTCTGGGAAGAGCAAATCTTATAGCGCTCTGGAGAAATAAGGCTTGTATCTGGTGGGGGCAGGTCGGCCATCTGGTTGACTTTCAATATCATCTCAGAATTTGTGTATTCATCTGTCATAGAGATACATTGACACAACTGAAAATAATTCATTCATTTTATTTTATTTTTAAATTTAACTTTATTTATTTTATTTCTTTATTTTATTGGGGAACAGTGTGTTTTTTCAAGACCCATCAGCTCCAAATCAAATAGCTGTTTCAATCTAGTTGTGGAGGGCGCATCTCAGTGGCCCATGTGGGGATCGAACCGGCAACTTTGGTGTTACTAGCACTGTGCTCTAACCAACTGAGCTAACCGGCTTCCCCAAAACTCATTCATTTTAAACTTGAGTTCCATTACTGGATCAGTCCTATAGTAAACAAGGAATACATTTTTTTAATGAATTGCATAATTATTTTGTGACTAGCATATTACATTGTGCTTTATATTTGTGTGTGTGTTTTTACCTCTACAAACAGCAAGTTCACATAAATATTTACATATTTATATGTAAATAAATATGTAAAAAAACGTGTTTTGTTTTTTTTTGTTGTTATTGCATTTCTTCACTTCTTAATACTGGAATTCTCAGAAAATGACATGGGGGAATTCTCCTTTACCCTCCAAGAAGACCTAGAGTAATGCATCTATAAAGCAAATCTTTCTTGTAGGGATAATTACTATCTTTTATAACATCTCTTGAATATGTTTTTGTGTTAAAAGAGGTAAGGAGAGGAATGAATAACAGGGATATGGAGGGACCAACTCCCCATCACATAGCATAAAAAATAGCAATTATCATGAGTCACTTATTTCACAAGGTACCAGGAACGTTGTACATGATAATACACAGCAGAGAACTTTAAAGAAGTAAAAGGACAATCATGGAAGGCAGTCCACTGACAGTGTGCTCCAAGGTCCATTTTCAGCCTGTGAACGCTTTGTTTCTGGTTCGTGGTGAGCTAAGTATGAAAATTTGAGAGTGAGCATTTAGAAACTGTTATAGAAATTTGACAAAGTAATTTTATGTCTGTTGAATCAAATAATAAAAGATTTGGGCTTGTATTTTGTTATGTCTGATTTTTTACTTTATTTTCTAGTAATTTATTTTCATTGTACTTTACAAAGGCAAAGAAAAACCTGCCTTCATTACACATCGTTTGAGAAACATTGACAAAAGGTATTATTATTTCTGAAATTTTGCTTAAGAACCATTACATTTCTAGTATAAACTCGTTATGTGTCGTTATTTTAGAAAGACTGTTTCATACCAAATGTAAGGAGCTGCCAACATACAAGCAAGTTCCAGAACAAATTTGTTTTGTTTTGGGTAACTTGGTTATTTAAGAGAGGCCAATTTTCCCATGCAATTACATAAACCTGGGGTTACAGTCTTGGTGTAGCCTATAAACCCAGTTATCTCAAAAGCTTACTAACCTATACTAAAGAACTTAATAACTGGAATATACTATAACAGTTAGCAACAGGTCTTCTTCACCCTCTTACAAGGGAGAAGAAAGGCTTCTGATTTCGTAATCAGAAAATCTCTCTTTCCCATTCGCCTATGAGAAACGGTGATTCCTGGCTCTAGCATGGTGTTGGAATGGGGGAAAGAAGTCGTTTCAACAGCAACACACAGAAAAAGAAAGTGTCTGGAGCGCTTTTCACATAGAGCAATGAGGGAATTAGGTCAAGTTTGAGGAAACTTGTGAATAAAATTAAACTGAGGTGTCTCCAACATTCTCCGATTGAGGTTAGGTAGGTTTTGCTGGACTCGGAAGCCCTGGTTCTTGACCACAAATGCCTCTGGCTGTCCTAAACTCCAGAGCATTCATTGTTCCCTTTGGTGGCTCAACACCAAGATGGTGACTCAGCCTCATCCTGATTTGATGTCTGTCGGTGGCTACCTCAGGGATTTGTACTTCTCTTTTGTTGTTGTTTGACAAGATTGTGAGGACAAGTCTAGGCTTGGTAAGAAACAGTGTTAGAATTAATTAGTGATGTTTGCCATGGGCGAAGGAAGAACAGGGAGGGAGTCTGCCCAACAGCTGTTGTTGCTATGCTGGGTGCAACCTAAAAGATATAGACTTTCAACCCTTTACTTTCAGCTGATACCAATCTTAATTATTAAGAACGTGACTTAAAAAAAAGAAAAGAACCTGGGCATAGCCAAAGGGAAACAGACATTGAGAACAGCACACTAGGTGATCTTATTTACCATGTAAGGTTTCCTCATTCCGTGGTACATGTAGAAAAGGCAATGAAGACTGGCTTCTGTCCTAGAGTCCCTGAGGCATAGCGTTATGTCTTCATCACTACACAGTATCCTTAGGAAAAGATTCTCAGATCTAAGTAAGACAAAAGACCTCGTAATAGTCCCAGGTCCTCTCTTTTAGGTCCTCATTCTAAAATCTGATTTCATATGTGAGGCTCTTCTTCTCCAAAGCTTGATATCAAACACGCCCCTAAAAAAGAGATCCCACCCCTACCTACCTGGTCATAGGGTAACTATGGACGAATTCTTAACCAAAGTAGTCTTTGGATACAATTCCAGGGGTTTATGTCCTTGGCTAAGAGAAAAATCTTGATTTCAAATGGAATTTAGCACATCTCTCAATCAAACTCAATGAAAGTAGAAAACGAATCACAAAAGCATTAGTAGTACTTATGACTTTGTTACTGATGGAAATATTTTCATTATTTCATTACAGTGTAGCAGGTATCTTGAAATAACATTCATGCTAATCACTATTTGGAAAAATGGTGGTAGGTCTTATCATTTAATGTGTTAATAATGAAGCACACAATACATGACTATAAACTATAGCACAAACTTTTAAGAGAACATTTTGATAATTGCATTTGAATTCAATTGTTCTCCTTTGCAATCTTCTGAGTTTTATTTTGTGCACTTAAAAATATTATTCTGAGAAGGTGTCTATAGTGTCACTACTGTCAGAGAGACCGGTGATACAAGAAAGGTAAGCCTCCTGGGCGTTCAAAGGACAACTATTTTAGCTCTACCTATGATCCAATACATGATCCAATATAACCTAATATCCCCTAGGATTGAACCAGAGATACACGCATACAGAAGCAGAGGGGGTTCTTTTTTTTTTTTTTTTTCCCTGGTGGGAAGCAGGTGAGAAACTGGAGTCTGCTTTTTTTTTTTTTTAAAGATTTTTATTGGGGAATTGGGGGGATGGGAACAGTGCTGGGGAGTTGGGGGAAGGGGAACAGACAAGTTGCTGTCGTTTTGTTCTCCAGTCTAGTTGTGGAGGATGTTGCTTCACTGGCCCAAGTTGGCACCATCATTGCGCTCTTCTCTGGCGAGACAGATCAGTCGCCGGCTTCTGGACGGCCGCTCACTGCGGCTGCTGGCCGCTCACGCTGGCTGCTGGCCACACACGGTAGCCCATGGCAATCCACTGCCACAGGGACTGCAGCCCACGCCGTGGCTGGCGACTCACGGCAGCCCAGCTCCAGGTTGAGCTGTTGTTCAGCATCTCAGCTGCGGAGAGCAGTGTCACTGGCCCTCATATGTGGGATCCGAACTGGGGCCCTCTGGCATCCCAAGCGAGTTCTTAACCATCGCGCCACTCGGCCGGCCCAGAGTCTGCTTTTATTTACTGGTTGTATGTAAAATGTATTTGTTGAAAATTGGCATTTGGGACCTTTTCTGCTTACATACTGTAAGGTGGCAATTAAACACTTGCAATCATGCGACGCTTGTTTCAGGCATACTCACTTATAACTGTCTCAATCTTAATGGATAAGTTTTCCTTTTATACATTTTTCTTTAGTCATGCTATGATTGTTCAAGAAACAAACAAACAAAAAGCACTACTCTTATTTCCATAAACTGAGTTTAGATGAAAAAGAAATGTCCAGATCCTTAGGTCTCTAGTCTAGATGAAGCATTAGAAATAGGATGTCTCTTTCCTCCCACCTGTATCCTGTTACAAAAAGTCGTGATTCCAACATGAAAGAACTATTTACAAGACATGACCCAGTATCCTTTCACGTAATAAAAAAAAAAAAAGAATCTTTAACACTTTGGACGTTTCTTACTGGAATGTATAGGAAGGAATGTCTTTGAAGACGAGGGAAATGAGAGAGGTAGGCGGGTTGCCTCTATTTCTTGCGGGGTTGTTTGCTTGGGAAAGGAGGGCAGGAAGCCAGACTCTCACTGCCCCAGGGTACGCGTCTGGGGCGGTAGGTTTGTGGTGACAAAAACCCAGGGCCGGGCCTAGGGCGGAGCCGCCGTGGCCCAGGGACAGCAGCCGGCCTAGGCCGGAGACAGGGCGGAGCGCGGCCCCGCGCAGCGGGACTCGGACGCGAGTGTCGCCCACAGTGCTCCCCAGCCAGGCCCGAGCAAGCGGCGCCGGCTCCCGCGCCATGGGGCGGCTGGTGGGTCTGAGCTTGCTGGGGATTGCGCTGGCGCTGCTGGGCGAAAGGTTCCTGGCGCTCAGGTAGGTGGGGCCCTCTGGGACCGAGCCGTGGGCGCGCGGCCCGGCCAGCCGGCTCCGGGACGCCCTCCCCGGGAGCCCTCGCCGCCCGCGAGTCCCCAGACTCGGGTGGCCGCGGGCTGCGGGAGAGGGCGGAGGCCGTGGAGGGCGTCTCGGCGCCGGGTGAGGAGCTGTTGATTG